AAGTTCCTAAAAGTACATATTTTTGCACTATGAAAACAAATCTAAACAATAAGTAAAAATAAACAATTTACAAAAATTATAAGCTCAAATATATAGGAAACAAAATATTAAAAGTTACAAATAAATAAGTAAATAAACCTCATAAATTGTAAAAAAAACTATGTGGATAATATCAATTAACAGCCGATCGTTTGTTGAAATTATTAAAAAATAATAAAGAAAAAATTTTTCAACGAAAATAACGATTAATTTTCAATTTAGATACTGTCTAAACTACAATAGCAATTAATGTAACCATATTAATATAAACCGAAGAAAATATGAAATAGATTAAATATATCAATATTATATTGCTTATTAGTCTAGACAATATAAGGTAAAAATTTATATACAATATCATAATTATGCTTTTTCTAATAAGCGAATCATTAAAATATAATTTAATCAATGAAGTATTTTAAAATAATACAAAATATAACAATAAGGATTTATTGATATAAAGAATTCAAAATTTTGATATTTTTTAATTCCATAATTTGAAAAATCAAAATATTCATCAATTGTTATATGTTCATTAAATAAAAAGATGTGTAGAATAAATTTGATAAAATCAATAATTTTTACAAAAACAACAAAGGCGTTTTCTAAAAATGGCAACGTTCTGATCAATAAATAACAACTTCTATAAAATTATAGTGCGTCCAGCTAGTAAATTACATTTTAGAAAAAAATTCGTGAATTTTAACTATTACGTCACTAGTTTTATATTTTAATAATATTGCAATTTATGCATATATAAGCAAAACGTATTCACATATTAACAAAAATAAATGCGAGTAAAATAAAACATCGTGTGTTAATCATTTTATATCATGTATTTGCAGAGAACTTAACTGATTAAATGATTAAATTAGAAACTCAATATACGTTCAGAATTTAAAAGTTTCTTAGACGTGTCTTTTATTAATAATTTATAGAAGTCATCATTTAACAAAATGAATAAAAAATAATTTAAGATATTTCAATAATTATAATTAGACAGACAAGTATTGATATACTATTGTACGACTTACATACAACTGCTCAAGACCAAATATTTAATTATTGCATATATATACTCATAACTAATATATAACCATGAATAATTTCTCTAAAATTTTTTATATCATTTATAACTTAACTTGATTTTTATTAATGGAAAGTTTTTAGGTAACCTTAATCACTAATTTTAGTAGTTTTTTTTTTACTTTACAAAATAAAATAATAATAAATTGACTATCATAATAACTAATGAAATTATTCTTTTTGACCCAATAGTTGTTAATGAGTAAAATATATCCATTAAATATAGTTAAATAAAAAAATATTCTAACGTATCATGTTTATTGTAATAAGTATATCAAATACATTAAATATTTAGACAAAAAATTATCAATACTCAACTTAAAAGCCAAATTCAAAATTGTACTGCTCGATACACAAAATTTCATCTACCCTAACCAAATTCCCACTCCTAAATACTAATAAAAACCCATCACTGTGGAGTTGTGCCACAGGGGCAATGCAGCAAAGTTGGGACGTAGAAAAATAGCAGATATCTGACAGTGATCAACACCACTATCATTAAAAAACACATCGATACAAATCTGTTAAATCACAATTTGTGTATTTTTACTTTTACAATTTCTACGATTTAAAAATTAACTCGAATTTTAAATGCTCATTAAATTATTTTGCATAATTGATAATAACATTTTTTTTTCTTTAGTGCCCGATTTTTTCACTTAGTAATATAATCGTCAGGAATTTTTTTTTTTTTAATATTTTAGTACAACCAACAGCTTTAATTTAGTATATATTTAAAGTTGAAAAACCTTCTGGAACATTTATAAAAATCGAGATGAAAAACAGACACGGGTATGCGGTTTCAAATATTCCTGCAATTAGATTTTTCATTAGAATTTTTTAAGTAGCATTCCAAAAGAAAGCTTATTATTTCTGGTGCATTTTGTTAACATTTTTTTTTGGATAAGTGTTTAAAAAAAACTTAGATCAGTTGTAAAATGCAGGTAATTTATTTTAAAATTTTATTTTTTAAGGTAGAGTAATTTGAACTATTTTTAAAATTTCTAAAAATGATGAATTTTTTTAAATTTTTGGTGCTGATTGGTTTAACTATAGTAAAATCGTGTTTTGACATATTGATCAATAAAATTAGTCCAATGAGTAGTAAAAATTTTGATAGACAAACATAAAAAAAATACTCACCATCGCCATAATGGTGATCTCAAACCTAATTGACATCGCTTGTAACTTTTGATAAAATTATCATTTCTTTTTTTTTTTTTTTTTTTTTTTTACGATTTTTGCATTCTTAGACTACTTTTAAAACATGTTTTATTACTTATAACTAATAAGAAAAAAAATTATTCTTTTAAAAATAGCTATTTTTTAGAACTATTCTTACAATAAATTTTAATGGATCAATATCAATTTTAGGACAAATACCCATTGAGTTACAAGAATTTTAATAAAGAGTATATAGAAATGAGAGTGGGTATAGTTCGTACTGGTGTATATTTATAACGCATACTTCACCTGTGTTCCATATACACTCTATGTATTAAAATGCTTGTAACTCAATGAGTATTTGTCCTAAAATTACACCGAGAAAAGTTCTAAAAAATGGCTGTTTTGAAGTTTTAAACAAAATAAATTTTTGTTCTTATTTGTGATAAATAATAAAATATATGCTTTAAACGTAGTTTAAGAAGGCAATAATTATTTTTAAAAAAAATGATTCTTATATCAAAAGTTATAAGAGTTGTTAGTTAGATCTGATAGACTCTGTATTAAAAGATAAACGTTTATTGAAAGCCGATACCTTCACATTAACTATAACTTATTATTTAAGCGCGTACTTAAATAAAACGTTTCCCAATACGAAAAAAATTGTAATTGAGTTAATATCAACAATAATAAATAAAATATTAATAAATATTTTTATAAAATCAAATAGAAGTGAGTTAACTGTTGATAGCCTAGTGAGTAGTGTATTATGTTTAGACGAATGATAATGTATTGAATAATTGATACAGTGCCAATAGTTTACGAGGTTCTTTTGTTTTTAATTCATTTGTCAAATTATCAAGAACTCCATCGTGTATGAATGTATAACATAATATTCATATAAAAGTATATCTAAATGAGATATAATGAGATAATTTTTTTTTTTAATTAGTTCTACATTAATAACTGTTTCTCAGAGAAAATTTTCACTTTAATTTTTATAAAGATTGAATGTTTCTATGATAGTAGGTTTTTATATAAAAATTAGGAAGTGTACATCTAGAAAACTATGAAAAGTCTACTCATAAAATTTGTTATTATATAGTAAATTCAATGTGATAGCATTGACCATTTAACAAATTAATTACATATAATTATTAAAAGTTTATCAACCTACTCGAAAAATTGTAATTGCAGAACTTTTAAGTTTTATTTGAAGTACATATTTAGAAAAAAATTTAATAAGATACAAATAACAATGAAGATAAACATCAGCATAAAATTCAAATACAGAAATGTTTTCTAAAAAAAAAAATATTTATTTAAAAATTTTATAATTAAATAAATGTTTGCCCAAGGGCCGCAATGCTAGTTAGCAAAGACATATTACATATTATTTTTCAAAAAATTCAAGTGAAATTTGTAGTTAAAATGTTCAAACTATTAAGTAATTTATTTATAAATTTCTTTTAAAAGTTAAATTTATTTTTTAGTTTACAATATTAAAATAAATTAATATAAACAATTATACTATTATAGAAAATTAAGATGGATTAAATTTAAATAAATTTAACACCATATAAACATAAATCTAGATACCTAATATATTTATCATAATTGGGTGAAAAGTTCAAGGTATCTAAAATTAAGTTCAATAACTATGTTTTTTTTTACTATAGTGTATTGTATAGTATAGCATATATATTTCATAAAATAAAAAAATGAAACATTTGTTTTTTGCAAAAGTTATTTTAATACTTATATCTTCAACTTGGTATAAAAACTTATTTAAGGTAAATTTTGAACTTGATTGATAAAAAAATTTCTTAAAAATTTGAGATCATTGTAAAAACATTCTTGTTTTTACAACAAATAGTGGTAACAATAAATAAAAAAATAAATAAATATAAAAACCACAGAATTTTTATAACAAGGCAAGGAAAAAAAATTTAAATATTTATTACTGCAACTATTTAATTGCTTGTATATGGTAAATAGATAAAATGCATATTGGCATACTAATAATAATAAGTAAGGAAACACTGAAATATTGTTTGGGCATGTCTTGTTAATACATCAAAATTGAACATCATATTTTTTTTTAAATATTCATATTACATCTGCAGTTGTATAATTATTTTCTCTATTAGATTTAATGAAAAAGTTATTTTGAAAAAAAAAAGGACAACTCTCGTTTTTGCCACGAGATCTGCAAATATAATTTTAAAAACAAATATTTTAGGGACTACAAATAAAATTAAAAGTTTATGATCACTTTTGGTATTTTTTTGGTAATAATCTTGAGATTTTTTAAAAAGATGATAGCAAAAAAAAATTTTTTAGTAATTAATTAATATCTAGCTGAATTTAAATAACACTAGAATTTATTTTAATATAAACATGTTTTATTGAACTACTTACATAAATACTTTATAAAAATTTGATCAAGATTTCTTTATAGAATAGTTATTAAATTTTAACATTAGGTCTAATTATTTTTTTAATAGGTTGGCAAGAGGGGCATTTTCTGGCACGGTCTCCTGCATTGTAATTGTTTGTCATATTGATTTATTTAGAACAAAGAGTTCAAATTAAGTTTCTTAAATAATCATTAAATAAATTTTAACTAAATACTATATATTTACTTTTGTATAATAGGTATATTTGTTCTAATATTAATATTTAACGATATCACATTATTTATATCTCACCTTTTCTCCTTCCAAATGGACCAGAAAAAGTTGAATTTTTTCCAATAATATTGTCATCTACATATTTTAAAAGCCTTGCTGGATCAGCAGACTTATTTGAAGGCTTAAATGCTTTATTGTAGTCATCTGGAAGCGCATAAAATTTCCTATTGGCAAATTTTTTAACAGGATTTTTTATCGAATTCATCACTGTTAATTGATATACTGTATTTATCGCATCACAATTAAGCAGAATGGTAAGTTTTCCAAAATTGCGGATAAAAGCCTTTAAAGTTTAAACGTTTTAATAGTTTTATATATCACGCTAATTGGTCATTAGTTAGCACTAATCAAATTCAGAACTAATCAAAAAATTAAATAAAAGTATTTTTTATTTGTTCAAATTTTGACTTACTATACTGCAAACACACGTTTACTGCATGTTACGAGTCGCAACGTTATCTCATCAATTCTCGCCTCGCCGCTCAATGTACACATATCATATATTCTGTGCAAAAAAACAATAACAAACAGTGCTACCAGTTTTGAATTTATCCAATATTATTGTTGATTCATAGCATACGTCACGATTTTATCATGTTAAAATTTATACGATAATACGACTAGGAAATTATGCTAAATCGTGATGTATATATTATTAATAGATGTACTAATTAATTGTATTCAGACAAAATAATGTGAAATATTAAATAATAATCGTAGTAAATTTTATTAAAAATAAATTCATTTATAATTGTTATTTCATTCGTTATTTTTCTACAAATTTTAATATCTTATTTGCATAAAATCTTTAATTCATTACATTATATTCAATAATATTATTTTACATTAAATTATGTTTATTCTAATCAAAAAATTAAAAAATAATAATAATCTAAAGTGATAAAAGTTGTCAGTAAGTTCTAAGTTACCTAAAGAGAATAGGTAAGGATAAGATTAAGAATGCAAATTCCCTTTTAAAAATTACTATGGACAAACAAAAAATAATAATAATAACAAGGGGGATTACTTATGATCTAAATCACCTATATATGAAGTACAAATTTCACTTCTATATAGCCAATTGGCTATATAGAAATGTATTGATACATTTCCTAAAAAAAATTATAGAAATTGCGACATAAATATGTAAATAGTAGTATAACCTTTTAAAATCATGTAGTGGCATATAAATGGGATATTCAAAGAGATGATTTTCCTCCCCGGGAATTTGGACAGCCATTATTTTTTTACTGTAAACAATTTAATTTCATGTGGTTTAAAAAAATTTTAAAACAAAAATTAAAATCATTAAACAAATTAATTGGTTATAATTTGTTATTTATATATTTTATTTATTATTAAATTAATGAATTTGTTTTATCAAAATACTACTTTTGTCTCTAGTCCTCTGTAAAATTTTTCAGTAATTATCAGTTGAAAATGTCTTCTTTATTATAGTTTAAAATACGACACCTTAAAACTTAGATAATACATGGGTTATTTTTTTCATTTACATAGTGTTATTTAAAAAATATACACTAAAAATATGGGTATTAATTACTCATAAGATAATAAGTTATATACAATACAATTGTTCGTTAACTAAATAATACAGATATGAATCCAAGTTAAGTATAAACATTTAAAGTATAATTAAATTATGTATTACCTTTATTCTATTTGCAAAAGTAATATTAAATCAAGTTTAATTACTGTAATATACAAGTGATATTACTTATAATATATAATCTAGTGTTTTCCATTGGTCATACTATGATGATATAAGTATAATTGTGGACCTTTTTTGTTCACAATCAGTTCAAACGATCAAAAAAATAGTCACAGAAATTTTATATAGTAGCTATTCAATTAAAAAAATTGTTGTGTTCCTTATCAAGAAAAAAAATTTCTAATGACGTCTTTATAATAATCTATATACACATAAATTCTGACAATACATGATAAACTTAAAACATTTTGTATGACAAATGTATCAAAGAATAGTAATGTTACTATTATCTATTGCAATTAATTTATTTCTAGATAGAATACCAAAAAAGATTTCAATTATCGCGGATATAATTTTAACACTACATTTCTTACATAAAATAACTTCACAATAGTCAAAGGTCGTTGATCTGCAAATTGTTGGAGGCATAAAGTTAACGTATAGTATATATTTGGTAAAGAATTGTGAATTACATGAAAGAGAGAAGCCGTAAGACTAAATCGGGTTTCTTTATAATCAGCTTCAATAACGTCATTTAACCAATGAGAGTGGGCATACTGTACGTTACATCTAATAACTTCAAAAAATCGTTTATTAAAACAAAAGTGACAAATAAAAAATGTGTTCCTTAAAAACTTGATTAAGTTCTTGTAATCCGCATAAATTGGATTTTTTTCAAATCTTGTTTACAATAAAATTATTAACATTATAAATTATTTTGCATATTTTTTATAAAAACATTGTAACACGCAAATTACCTGGAGGCAGAATCATTTTTAGTTCATAAGAACAACTTATTAACAGTAATTATTTACGTCAATAAAAAAAAAAAAGAGGCAAGTGTAAGCATTATTTTTTTAGTGGTCGACAATTTACTATTGGATTAAAATTCTGCAGTAAATAAAACCATGGTTTTTTACTAGCTTAATAGAATTTTGAGATAACATTTTAGAAACAGCTAAACAAATGAAAAAATTTTTATTCTTTTATTTCGTGTACTCCAAAATATTGTATTACAGCTGTTAAAAAAAAAAGTTTACAAATGGAATGAAGTAATGAACCCGAAAAGATATATAATTAAGCTGTAACAATTTTCAGTTGAAATTTATATAATATTAACTAATATGAATTTAAATGTACAAAAATATATAAATTGATAATGGTAAAACAATTTTTAATTGATGCTAATGTAAATTTATAAATATGAAAAGTGAAATATACTTATTTTAAATAGTTGAAATTTAACAAGATTTTTTACAGTTTAATATTAAAGGATTCATTTCCAGAGAATATTATAACAAACTATGCTACCTAAAAATCTCTGAAAGCATATTTTTTGTGGATAGTACTTGATATATTAAACAATTGGGTACCATCATCAAGTTTTGTACAAAAAAGTGTCATCCAATCAAAATACCTAAACGTTTTCTTTTTTGATTGTGTTGCACTAGGCTTTGTACTTCTCTGTTATTCTATTACAAACTTTTAAGACGTTAAATATAAATAGAATAATAAATATAAGTCTTTGGATTGTCCATTTATAAGAAGACAAAAGTACACTTTTATGTACCTCTAATGTCCCTGGCACCAATTGATACGCGGAGCCATATTGGTCATCCGTCGCTCAACTTATGGTAGTTTGATTATCACCGCGTATGATATGTCGGAAGTACAAAGTCTTACTGTAATGCACAACCAGCGGCCACCAGTTGAAATATTAACGTTGAGTCTCTTTCCCGTCCTCGACGTCGAGGATGCACGCCACCGACTCCTGACATAAGACACGTATGGACACGACAGCAACGCTACTAACTTTTGACATCCGAAGATAATGTCGGACAACGCGTCCCCGAAGCCAGCGACAATGACACGCTTTTATGCGAAGATCACTGAACTATTGTGTTGATTTTTCAGCTTTTAAATAATCTATTGTCTATTAATAATAAAAACGCAGGTCAATTATTAATAAATGATCTCTACCATCTAAATCGGTGTCAACATTATTATTGCTAAGTCAGTTGTACCAATATCGATATTCACTGTACAGTAATTTGATTATTAGTATTCCGGTAAATGAAGTTAACAATAATCTAATTGATTTACAGAAACTTAAATGGGATATTTCATATATTCAAAAACTTATAATTAAGAAGGTGAATGTTACATATAAAGTTGATGGTGAATGTTTGAAAAATTCTTTATAATAATAAAATAAAAATATTTATAGTTAACTAACATAAATATCTTAATTTATTATATATTGAATATTGTACGTTAAAAGTTGGAGTATTCTACTGAATGAACAATTAGTGATATTATATTGAAAATTGTGATATTGCAGTAGCACTTAATTTTAAATATTTTTATTAAAACTACTAACAACAACTTGTTATAATCAGATTACATTTTTTATCTATAAACTTGAGTGATGTGTTCGTTAAGTGGTGATTTTATTCTATATTCATTTTTTTAAACTTTTATCCTTCAGTTTGGAAGAAAATCTTAACATAAATTATAATTAAATAATCATGAATAATCTCATCACAAATTTTAATCTGATATTCTGTGATGTGGCTTTAAATGTATGTATATATATCACAACTTTATTTCTAATAACATAAGGAAGCTGTTTAATAATTTTAGGTTGCCAGAGTTGACACAGCACATTTATCAATACTATTGTACATAATTAATTTTGATTGAACATGGTTAACACACATAAAAATAACAATAATAAAAGTATGGTTTAGTTCAATAATAAAACCTAGCAAGATTGCCTTTAAAAAACACTAGATTTGTTTATAAAATATTAAATATACTTAATGAGAAAAATAATTTTCTGGATCACTGTAAATAAATTGCATGATACGGCAAAAATTAAATTATTATACGTTTTTCTTCGTTTATTTGGCTGTTTACATTAATACGGTTAGTGTGCAAATAATTAAATGTCAAAATAGTAGTAAACATAAGCTGAATTTGTCCTATGAAAATATAGAAACTCAATATATGTACTCGAGGGGAAAAATTTAGGTCAAGAAGGGAAAATAAAAACCCATCCTAACAACTTTAATAAATTTGATGCGCACATTCATTCATTACTTATGACAAATAAATTGATTCTGAAAGTTTGATCAAGTCTAACAAAAATATTGAAAAAGTGTCAATAGTCTTAAATAAGTGTTATAACCATAAAAAATGTTCCAAGTAAAGTTTAAGTTTTACTTAATATTTAAGTTTTATATCAAAGCTAAGTACCTATTAGCATTTCCTTCATGAAAAATAATTTATTTTAACGCCATGGTGTTGAAATTATGAAAACTTACTAGTTTTCATCATACGAACATATAGTTACAATTAGTTACGCATCCCGTTTCATATTGTTGCCAAGGCAACATTGGTATTTCTCAAATTATTCGATTAAACTACAAAGTTTTTTGTCAAATAATTCTCAATATCGACAGTATTTTTTAAACTAAAAAATATGTTAAACTTTGCAAAACCATTACCAAAAGATCATGCTGAAGTGGCTAAACGAATTAAATCGAAGCTCTTCGACGAAGAAAGAAAAAAGAGAATATTTAACCCAAGATCAAGAATTATTGGTGTAAGTAATATCCAATACCAAACAAAAAACTTTTGTAGAATTTTCATTTCTTAATTTTTATACATTCTTTTTCCACGGGATACTATTTTCCGTAACTAAATATATATTTACTAAATTAATAGTCTTTATTTATAATAATGATAATCTTTAATGAAATTCACAAAAATACGATATGGTATGCACGAATACTAATAGAGAAAGCAAACATTTTGTTGACAAATAATTTTGTTATAGATCGACAAAGATGCACTTGACAGGCAAATTTATGAAAAAAAACTACTGGAGGATCAAGAAAAATCTAGAGAAGAAGCTTACTGCAAAAAATTACTTCAAGATTGTGAAGTTTCATTAAAACTAGAAGAACAAAATAGAAAGGTAAAAAATTTACGTTACACTATATAATTAATATCCCGCAGTTCACAGAGTCAAATAGGGTGATATAGAAACACAATGTCACATTGATACAGTGAAATTATTTTATTAATAAATAGTGTAATATAATTTTAAATAATTTTTAAAAATTGTTATATTATGGTAACTATTTTCCAACATTATCGAGTTTCTATAGAAAACTAATATACACAACAAATTGTATTAATAAAACATCTGGGAAAAACAATTTAAAATATAAACATATTAGTGATGAACACAATTAGTTACATTAGTTTTTATTTAGGTATAACGTTACTTAAATGTTATAAATTTTAACTTAATGGTATTATTAGAAAATAGGGATTAAATATTGTTTTTTGGAGAGTACTTTTTTTAATTAATAATTTCATATAATAGATTATGTAATAATCTACTAATAAATAGGTTAAGAAATCCTAATGTAATAATTTAAAAATTACTGTTTTTATGTTTCAAAAAATTTTAGATTTACCTTAAAGTAAACTTAAAATAATTAAACAATAAGCATAATTAAAATCAATCAGATTTGTCAATATAAAACATAATATAATGACTAAAAGGGTGCGGTTTATTACTTCAATACTTCGATACTTTTCTAATAACCTATACAGCAATTAAATAGATTTAAAATATAATTAACTTTTTATAAATCGAGAAATTTCTTAATATATATATAGCTAAATGTTAAAAAATATCAATATTTTTTTTATATTGATGTATTTTATGTAAATGAGTGGTTCGTTGTTAAATAATTACACTGTACTTAAAATATATTTTTTTTACAAATTTAATAATTTAATATTTTTTTCTGTAAATTAGGTAGAGGCGGAATAACTTCATATTTATTCTATATATTTTAAAATGCTATTTTTTAATATAGAAGCAAAAGCAAATAGATTTGGAAATTCTCGAATTCAGAAAAAAATATCAAACGCCTGAAACAAGAAGAGAACACGACTTAAACGATCCACACCATAGTAAAAAAGGGCAAACAAGTGAAATAAATGAAAATGATTTAAGATCCACAGTATCGTCAGGTCAATAGTAAGTCTCATAAATATTTTGAGTATGCTACTATACATAATAAACAAATAACCAATTTTGTCGGAATGTGTTGTAATTATAAAATAATAATCCATGTAAATAACTATTCTTGAAATCATTTTATTTAGTTTTGAAGGTGAAGACGGCACATCTAAAGAATTCAGGGCTGAACAGATAAAACAACAACGGGTTTGGTTGGAAATGCAAATAAGGGAAAAAAGAATGGCCGAAGAAGAAAATAAAAACGTTGAGAAAACTTGGCAAGAGATTCAGGAAATAAATACTCAAAGAGCCAAAGCATTGGCAAATCTTGAAAATGAATGCCGGAAAAAATTAGTTGAGGCTACTTCACGTTACAATCAAGCATTGGTATATTATTAAATTTAAATAATAAAATAATAATAACTTACTTATAATATAGGCAGCAGAAAAAGAGATGAGCAGACGCATTACTGAAACTGAAAACAATGAAGATAAAATGGCCGAAGTCTACAACGCAATCACAGGTGATTTCTTAACTGAAAACCCAGAGCTAGGTTTTAATAGTGCTTTAGGACCTGGAAAAATATGCAAATCTCTCTATAAAGGACTGACGCCAGCAATGAAACAAGCTATATTTGACGAGCAAGAAAAACAGAGACAAGAATTGAAGGTTGATTAAATAAAAAAAATGTAGTAATTCTTATATAATCTGGTACTTTATTTTTCAATTTTAGCTCAAGAAAGAGGCATTTGAAAAACGTGAAAAAGACTGGGCAGAATTATTAAATATGTTGGCCAGATGTGGAACTCTAAGTGATCGAGAAATGCAAAGAAAGAGACAGTAAATTTATTAAAATTATATCGATGACTTTTTATTAATAACAATTTTTGTATTGAAGGAGCTTGGAAAAAGAAATAACTGAATTTAATCTCAAACTAGCAGATGAAAAAAAAAAAGAACAGCAGTTCTTAAATGAACAATTGTACAAAGGTAAAGCATCAGATGAGTTCTATGATCAATTCAACAAAACCACTCGCTAACAAAATAAATGTTTATAGTTATTTTTATAATAACATTTTAATTACAATGGTATAACATTAATACAAATCACAATTTATAACGTTAATTAGTAGAGCTTAATTTTTCCATAATGTCCTTCTGCAATATATTTACCGATTTTTTGGAACGGCATGTCAACTGTCAATGTTAATAAAGTAGATAAAAGTCCAATAATTATAACTTGACTTATATCAAACTGAAAGTAAAAAAAACAATTGATTACAATGTGTGCATATCTTAAACTTTTTTAACATAGTGCTTAGACTACATTTTGTAAAATTTAGTAGGTAATTGAAGTAAACTACATGGAAATAAACTTACTATCGATGTGATATTATAAAAGGATGAACCTCTTGCAGTCCCAACAAAATAAAAGAACACTGGATATTGCACTAGGTAAACAGCGTAGGATATTTTAGATAATGGCGTGAAAGCTGACCAGCACAGAATATTACCAAACCAACCTTAACAAAATAAATGGTAAAAATAACAATTAAAAATTTTTTTTTTTAATCAAAATTAAATTTTTTATTACCATCATAACCATTGTTATTTGCAATTATCAGCCATAGAATAAAAATGGACCACAATATTGGCGAAATAGAATTAAATAGAGCTAAATGCGTTGAGTTGTACACATAACTCTTGTTTGATAACGGATAAGGTCCAAAAATAGCTAATAAGCCACATATGATCGCTACAAACCAAGTCTTTTTCACTTGTGCCTAGTTAAAATTTTAAATTAAACTTTAAAAACAAATAAAAAATTATAATATTTTACTGGAGTAAGATTAAGGCGGCCTTTTTGTTGCATCCAATAACCAACTAGTAGTCCCATTAAGTAAACAGTCGCACGATGTGAGGATGATGTGTAAGTCAAATTAAACGTTTTGTGTAATTGTGAAAAACTGTAGAAAAATAATTAATTTATATATTGCAAAAAAATAACGAATTTAATGTACATACTTAACACCAAAATATACTAGGGAAGCCAATTCATTTGATTTGACAACCTGATAGCGTTTTATTGTCGAAAAAGTAATTAAAGTCGTAATTATAGATATAGCCAATGGTTTATGTTTGCGTAGCAAGTAAATCAAAGGAATTGCTAAGATATAAAGTTGAAAATCAACAGCTAATTGATAAGTATTTGTAAAACACTAAAATCAAATATAGTTGATTATAACTTACTATATTACTATTGAGTAATTTAAATAATTTTATCATACCATATTTTCAAAACCAAACCAATTTTGAATGTACAATACATTTTTCCACCAATTTTTATTACAAATTTCTACGGGTTTAGTTATAACCATGTTCCACATGGGGCCATTATTCATTCCAGGCAAATAAATTGTACTATAAGTTATTACAACGGCCATAGTAGCAGTTAAACTATAATTAAATAAATTTAAAATTCATGAATGTATTCGCATTAAATTATAATTTTAAATAATTTGGCCAGTTCACCAGTAAAAAAATTACTAAAAATAAATAAATTATAATGGCAATCATATGTCTTTAAATACTGACCGCACATAGCGTGAGATAATATTTTTAAATGGCGATGATCTGCTAAGCGTATAAGCCGCCAGTAAACCACTGATGATCAAGAAAGAATCCGTGTATAGAGCAGCTACTCTTCCAATTACATACCAAGGTTTCGACATATTCTTTAAAAATTATAATATTATTTTAATGACAGAATAATTTAAATGCATTTAAAAATATATTTACTTCGGACAATTCAGTTTTGTTCAGGTAAGGTAAAAATAACTTAGCCATTGTCATGTGAGATAGTAGTAGGGCTACCATATTAAAAACTCGAATCCCATCAATGCTTCTTAAGCTGCTATTGGATGTTGGGCTAAAGAGCATTTTAATATTGTTCGACGGAGAAAATGAATTTCTTAAGGCTCTAGTAAGCCGAAGTATAAAAGGTGCACATTTTTGGAGATCAGCTATATAAAAGTTCATCATATTTTAATCGAATAATAAAAAAAAAGTAGATTATTAGAAACTCACGGTCTATTTCTTCTGAACAAAAAATTACTCCTTGTCCAACCGACGTCAAAAATCCAAATAATATGGCAAAAAATAAAGTTAACCAAAGTGGAGTTTTCTGATCTACAGGAATACGTTTCTGCTGGCACAAATCGTTTTCAACAAGTACTTCCAAGTCGATTAAGCCGTCAGTCGCTGATTTAATAGCAAAAGAAACATCATCTGGAGTACAAGTAGATGGTACACATACACCCCAATAAATAGTAGAAAATTTTGGTATACGATGATTTAGCTATTAAAACAGACATTACGTTAAATCAAAATTATGTTAAAATTATGTTTATTCGTAAAAACTTACATCAGTTAAATTATTCTTTAGTTGATGGTAAGCATGGATTTCATCATCGAAATAATGTAATTTAAATTGAATTGCTGCTAGACAGTATTTACCTGTAAGTTCATTGTCATCGATGTTGATACATTCGTCAAAGTCTCCAAATTGATTCACATTACCTCTTAGCATTCCCGAAGGGATTTTTGCCGTCGAATCAACCACTAATTCATTTGTTCTTATATAATATTTCTTATAATTGAAAAATGTACATGTATTTTTGTTACAATAAACTCACTTTTTAAAGCTGAACTGTTCATATTCTTCACTCCATCTAGTACAATTTTTACATAATTGCGACATTGCTCCGTTACTGATTCGCTCTCGATACTTAATTCTTCGTAAAACTTAAAGGGAACCGATTCTAACCGAGTTCCCCATGCTGAATTTAGAATCAGTACAAATACCACCGAAATTTGCACTTTCATATTTGGTCGATGCTCGACAACAAATGTATATACTTCAACAAAAAATTGTACTCGTAAAGAAATTGACAGGAAATACGCGAAAGCACTGTATATTTAAAAATACACGTGTTTTTAAATATAACAACTTCCTTTTAATGTAAATTACTTACCATAACATTTTTTCCTCCGAGTACATACTCGTATTTGCTTATGTTCTTACGAACAAGGTGTTTAATGTGTCTAAATATTTAATGTACATGATAACTAAACACAACAGTAGGTATAACTAATGACGCAACCAGAATTTTTTTTTTCAAGAGAGGAGTGTTACAACCCCAAAACTCCTACAGTAGTGACTAATATTGTACGTTTTAAACACTATGTGTTTAAAACACCAAAAATTTCAAATCTTACATGGGTCTTATGGGACGTTTTAAACTGTTTACTTGTGTATTACACATGTTTTTCAACAGCCTCGGTTGTGACACTGTTAATTTTACTTTTCAATTTTATAATACTGAAAACCAATTTTGTGCTTGAAGAGTATTGTCTAAGATAGCACTAAACAAATTCAATATGCATTGAAATCCAAAATCTATTTATAGGTAACTCTCTTTGGCTTGAATTTGATCATGACTTTTAATGATTTCTCAATAAGAAATGAAACCATGAACTATTAAATGGTACTAGAATTGCTTAAAGAACACATAGGACAATATTCAAGCTCCGTTCGTATAAACATATTTAGAAAAAAATAAGATGAGCACATTTGAGCATTTTTTCCTTAATAACAGAATTTTCTTAATTTTTTTCTCATTCTATTCCTCTAAATAAAATAAGTAATACAGAGAACATTTAAAAATTAGTCTGTCAATTCCAAAGTTAGGTGATTATAAATTATTTTAATAAAATAATTTAATTAACTAAACATTTTTATTTTCTTAGGTATATTTAAACTTTTAGTATACATTTATCACATTATAATGTGATGAAAACAGAAACCATTAGAGCTCGTATATTAATTGAACACGATTTTTTTTCACTGGAGCACATTAATATACTTAAATAACACATTAAGCATTACAACACTATAGTGTTATAATGCGTTAATAATTAACTTATTTATATTTTATAGAAAAATACTTGAAAAATTAAAACATATTATTATATTATGCAAGAAAAATTATACAAGAAAGTTCACACAGTAATTAAAAATGTTTACATATTTTAATCTGATGATGACTATAATATCATCATAGTCATCATAGTTAATATCATTACAAATTACACTATAATACAGTCAGACAAAGAAGTTCGGTACGGCCAATCGCAAATCAATTCCTGCTTATTCCAAAATGTACCAGATTGGCAAGTAAATGTAGTTAACTTTCCATGATTACATCGAGAATACTATAAAATAAAAATATTTTTTATAAATGCATTAAATAAAAACAATAATCATTTTGTTTTCTAATTATTCAAAATTATAAAAATGAAGAAAACATTTTAGCTTTGATGCGAAGCTGAGAAGGTATTATTTTACTATGATGCGTTTTTTTTTTTTTTTTTTGTGTCTGTTACCACTTTTTCTCAGCTCTCACCGAACGGATTTCTTTCAACGATATGTCAAAAGATCACAAATCGTATCTAGTCGAAGACATTACCCTTAAAAATTGAAAAAATTTCCCTCGTTCCCCGTAAATGGGGGAAACCTCCAAAAAAATTACAAATTTAAAAATCGCTAATTTTCGAAATTTTCGAAATTTTTTTTACTAAAATGTGCCGTAACTTTTTCAAAAATGAACATATCAATATAACTTTTTTTTTTATAGATGCTTGATGTCTTTACCTATCATTTGGTATATTTTTTTAGTAAATATGACCCTTTATCTGCCCACAGGGGCGGATTTAAAATGACAACTTTTTCACAAAAAATTAACTTTTTCAACTTAACTTTTGAAAATGTTCCGGAAGGTCTGACACTTTTATATATATCTTAAATTAAAGCTAATGTAATGTACTTTATTATGCAAAAAAAAAAGTTCGGACTTTATTTTATCTTCACGGTGAAAATGGCTACCGAATGCTATTATTGTGTAAAAATTCTCGATTTTATTTTTTACATTTTTAACTTTATAATGCTATGACATATTGAAAAGTGTATGGATCAACATTATTTTTTTATGAGAAATAATATTTTTTAATAAACCCTTTTTCATTTGACATACTTTATCTAAATCGAAATATTAATAAGGAACTAGCAAATTATGTAGCTTTTGGAATAATACACCAATTTTTTTAAATTAAACACTATCTAAAGATTTGCATCGAAGCGTTTTTTTTTTATAGTGATTTTAATTACTGTCAGATATCATTATACTTGATCCAACTATACCACGGCACCACTGTGCCGCGACCCCCCTGTGCTGGGTTTTTTTTTTACGCTTGTCTTTAATAAATATTAAAAATGTAAATTTATTTTAAAATACTCCGAAAGATAAAAGAAAAAAATTATTTGTTTAATAAAAATACAGTATGATAAATATAAATAAGACTTATTAATATGAAACATTTTGAACTATTTATGATACTATAATAGTATAAATGATTATTGTTTACAAGCCATTTACAGCTCACATTTTAAACTTATGTTTAACATGTAGAATGAAGCTTATAATTAAACCCTATTAGAAATCAAAAATGTAAAATTAATCAATTGTTAATTTTATATTTATTTAAATTTCTTTGATAATGCTTACTTTATTGCAATAGCTGTGAGGTATGAATTCTCCTTGTCTACACCCTCTACCAATATTTTGTTCTTCATTAACTGGTATTGATATTTGAATATAATTTGTATCTCCCGATTCATTATCTGTCGTAGTTGAAGTTGATGATAATGTTGATGTTGAAGGTGGAGCATAATATATTGTTTGAGGTGTAGTATTTTCTTTGTTTGTTGAAATTTTTGGAGGAGGTATAAGCCAGTCGGGCTATAATAAGTAAAACATTTAACATATATTGTAAAATAAAAAATAATTATTAAAATTCAGTGTTAATATACTGTAGGCGTTGTTGAAATTTTTAAGTCTGGTGGCGTATATGTGTTCATGGCATCTGCAAGCACTCGTATAAGTGGATTTATTGGTCCGCAAAGACCACGGAAGTCATCCATGTCTATAGCCCATACCATAGCACCACCATAACCTTTGTTTTTGATATGTTCCATTTTAAATTCTAAACTTGTCGTATTATCATAGCCAACCCATTGAGTTCCTAAATAAAAATAAAACATAAATATTTAATAAAAGTCAATTTGAATCGTTAATAATATTTTTAAATGTGGTGTAATGCACTAACCTTTATACATGTATGGACACAGTCCTATTGGATCCCATTTCTTTGTCCAACCATCGTTTTCATCGAGCAAATTTACACATAACTCGTAATAAGCCAAAAATCCTACAGATTGTGTATAGTTTCCAGCTTCACCCCCTCCTGCTTCTTTGTTAATATAAGTACCTATTTTATAGTCATTATTACTGGCACTCAGCGTAAATGATCTTCCATAAAACGGTACCCCCATTATTAATTTTTTTGGGGGGCAACCAAGATCGACCCAAAGTTGCATACCATCAGCCTGTAAGAAATTAGAAAAAAGTATCATTTGATCACAATTTACAAAAAAAAACAAATGGAACAGGAGCTAAAAAGGAAAGTAAGTAATTATTTCTTTTTTTTTATTTGATCTATACATATATCATTTCTGGTATAATTAGTAACACGAATAATTTATTTTTATTTTTAACAATTTTGAAGTTCTAAATTCAGCAAAACAGCTTCTTACTTATGAAACTCTGAAAATGTTATTCAAATTCGAATAACACTTTTACATAAGTTAATTTTTATGGGAAAATATTTAATTTAAATATAAATTAATTTCATATTTTATTCTTTATTTAAACTTGATACATACTACATTAAGTTTTTCGTAAGAGTATTGATCTGTGGGTCTTCTAAATAATGGGCTATGTACATCTGCAAATCCAGCCCAATTACCTCGCAAATCGTAAGCCATTACATGCACAGCATCAACTAAACTAAAAGCAAATTAGAAAAATCTTAAATTAGAAAAAAATCTCATTTTAAAAAGTTAGATTAAACCAATATTCCAATAATCAAAAATACTCACCTACATAACCCTGGAACATAGTAGCCTTCCATTAATCGAAAACTTGCCATTGGTACAGCCATCGTGAGCTCCCAAGAAGGGTTTTGTTTTAAAAATTCTTCTTTTAATTCTTGTACGAAATAGTAAAAGTTGTTTCGATCCGAAAAAGCTCCATCTCGATCAGCCGCTCCTGGATATTCCCAATCCAAATCAAGACCGTCAAAATCATAAATCTTTAGAAACTCTGAAAAAAGGTTATTGGAAAATAGATTTTTATCTAACTTCAGAAGACACAAATCTAATTATTGTTTAAACCTGTTACACTTTTTATGAACGTATTTCTTTTAACTTGAGACGATACCAATGTAGAATATTTTTTACCTCCTTCGGCCCAACCACCGAGTGCTACTGTAAATTTTACATCTGGATATTGTTTTCGAAGATTAGTAAAATTTTTAAAACCGTTCATATCGACATCCAACTGAAAGAACACTGATTACAACAGGCAGAGTTTTCAGTAAGTAAGGAAACAGATAAAATGTTACAAACATTAAGAACAATAAAAACCCGTTTCCTTAGTTACTGAACACCCTATATATTCATTCATGTATGAAAAAATGTTTTTATAATACCTCAGGCTCAATAATACTTATTCCCCAAGTCGTATTATCCACACCAACAAATGAATATATCACATGGGTACAGTCTTTCACAGGTATATCATCTATAGTATATTTTCCAATACCCGGACGATAAAATGCCCAATTGCTAAAATAGCAAATGACTTTTGCACAATCTGCGCCAAAATATAAATACATGTTTTTAATATGAAACATCTTTAGTTAAATTGTCAGGAACTCACCAAGATACGTCACTGAGCTTAATACCACCAATGCTAACAATGGCCACACAGTGACCGCCATCCTTGTAATAAAATTATCTTTTGTAGAAAATCACAATATTCGAGTAGGCCCAACAGAATATAACTACTCAGACTAAATGAAGTATTTGGCCTAGACAGTAACTAATTTATAGTCTGATCGAAATTCCTCAATGTCAACGCTCTTCTTTGTCAAATAAACTTTAAGACATACGCGTGCGCGCACGAGCACGAGTGTACGCACGCACTTACATATTAACCAGCAAAATGGTCACTTATAACTTAGTCAGGTAAGATTGCTACTCTAGGTATCGAAATCTATAGTAGGAGAGATTATGGCTGGTCGTTGAATAGTAACAAATTAGTAGAGAAAGCCCATAAAACAAAAGGAGGAATTAGGTACTGTATTAATGATTTATAGCATATACTTTGATCCATATTGTTTATTAACAAAAAAAAAAAAAGTACATAGGTACTATTAATAAGTAAAAAAAAACAAAGATTTTTTGAATCAATACAAAACATATTATTAAAAATACTAACGGTTAATTTAACGAGTACATTAAATAATCATTAAACTATGTATTAGTTGTTTTTTTAACAATAAACATTACATTGTATAAAAATATTATTATTAATCAATTCTTATGATTTATGAGATCACGTCTTTGCTTCGGTTCTTACTTATAAAATCTTCACGCGTTAATTTTCTTTTGTAGTGCCCAGATTAATAATTCTTCCATCTATGTGATCAGATAGTCACGGTTCAGAATACAATATCACAGTGCGAGTTGTTTCATCAGAAATAATTTTATTTTCATGAGTTTAACGTTCCCTTTAAGAGCAGAATTATTTATTATATCAACACAGTAAATACGTATCGAATTTTGATGTTAAAGAAAAAATAATTGCACTACTTAACTTTACTAAAAAAAAAAAAACATAACAATTAAGAATATTATTGTCAGAGAGTATTATCGTCGGACTTTTCCATTATTCTCTCTAATAATACTTATAAAATACTTGATTAATATATAAATGAGCAACTGAAAAATAAATATTTGTATATCACTTCTGCGTCTTCTTGCGTCTATAAACCAAAAACATTCAATCTAAGTGTTAAAGGGAAATATATCTATTATAGTTTATAAAAGTGTAATCTTCATTCTTTAAACTACCATCGCCTATTCTCGCAGGCCAATGAATACACATCAATTACTATATTAATTAAAATTAATCATAAAATCACTCTATAAAGTTTGCTGGTAATTTTATCAATGATTGTAATAAGATTATCTATTGAAGCCGCTATGACACGAGCAGTAGATTTTTAATATCCACCAGAAGATAACATAACTAATGGTATATTATTATACCGTGCTAGTTTGAAAACCATTTCATCTCGAAGAATAAGATTATTATTTAAGTATTAACTAATAGTAGTAATTAGACAGTTGAAGTATATTAGTTTTATTGTAATTTAAACATAAAAAAATTAGGAATTAATGAATTTTTAACAAATCATTAGCGACAAAAATGATAATATAAAATGAACTGATAAATTACCAAAAACTAATTAAAAATAATAATTATCCGTGTTTTACTATAGGTTTAACATTATTTTGAATTAACATATTAATCATATAGCAAGGTGTACTACATTTTTTCTTTTTAATAACAATGAATTGTGGCTTTTTACAATTCTAATAGATAGAAAGAAAATATACAAGGTCTTCAGAAAAATGATATTAGGACAATAAGACAGAAGAAAAACGACATAGAATATTATTAATTCTTTTATAATAAAACCACATCACAATTTAATATATTGGACACTGAAGTATAATTTTGTTATGTTGTATTAATAATCCAATAAACAGAGTGATAGGTTTATCATAAACCAGTCTATTACACGCTTAATAATTACAATATTGAAAAAATAAATGTTTGATCTTTTTAGTTACGTATATTTTTTATTTATCAACAATTTATTACTATTTAGAATCATCCCTTATAACTTATAAAGGTGTAAACTTTATTTTTTAATGACAACTTATATATTTAACTAGCTTATAGAATAAAAAATTGTCAAATTAAGAAAATAACTGGTCCATAACAACTTTTGGACCAGTATTTCAGATGTTATTGGGAGAAAGAGTACAGCCGTTAAATGACTAGTAGTAAAAATATAAATACGCGTCTCACCTCCAAACATTACAATGAATTATTAATACCTTCCAAAATGCAGATCCACAAGTTGCTATCAATTTTTAATTAGATTAATTCCTATTTTATAAGCTAGTTAAATATGTATTATTAGTTAATAGTAATTAATAGTTGATAAATTAAGAAATATATGTAACTAAAAAACCAAACATTTTTTTCAACATTGTATTTATTTTGCGAGTAATAGAGTGGATCTTGATAAACCGATCACTCTGTATAGTATAATACATGCGATACTATTATCACATGTATGTCAAAGGAGGATATATACTCTGTGACAAGACTATTCTAGATAATAAGATAATTACCATCAAATTTCCAAATAAAATATTTTAACTTTTCACTAAAAAATTGTTTTCAAAAATGTATCACATGTCTTAATTATATTTATTAATTATACAGGGTGTTCAGTAAGTCAGGAAACGGGTTTCTATTGTTCTCATTGTTACAAACAATGATAATATAAAATATAATAGAAACCCGTTTCCTGACTTACTGAACACCCTGTATAAAGTAACTACATAGAAGATAAATGTAAGGTTAGAAATGACAAAATAAATGATACAAAAATGTACAGACGACTTTTATTATGTTGATAAATAATTTTTTTTGTAATAAAAGGATCTTGATTTTTGTATTCAATTTAGACCAAAAATGAATTAATTGTTTCAAATTTTAAATATTTAACTGTAAAATAAATTAAATAGCAAATAAACTGGAAAAAAATAAAAAAATTGCAACAAAATGACAAAAAATTTTTTTATGTAATAATCAAATACACAATTTAGTTATTTTTGAACTTAATTTCTAATCATATTGCTTTTACAAAATATTAATAATAATAATTATTCGTTTTAAAATTTAGTTTATATGACCCTTCTTTGTTAATATATGATTTAAATTTTATAAGTTCGATATTTAACCACTATAAACTTAAAATAATTTAAATCACGAATTAAGACAATGAAAGGTCACATAATAATAATTTTCAGTCTAAATCAGTGTTCAGAAGTCTAGTTAACTATAAATATCTTAATAAAATAAATTGTTTCAAATGAATTGAATTTTTTATATAATTAATGATTTTTAAGGCTAAATTTAATTATTTAACTTTAAACTTAAAATACACGTTACAAATATCTTCTTTTCTTTTATTTTCGTCTTTTAGAAAAGTTACTACATATAATAACTGCCATTTATTATTATCAGTTGACATTTTTGTTTTTAAGAACAACAAGTGTAACGAAATGCAGTTTCTAATTAGTATGCATAATGACAAATCAAATATTTGATCGTCTTCCGCGCCAATTCTCTTATATTCTCAAATATCCTTGAATAAAAATTATAGACGATTATCTAGTTGAAATATAAAATATTATTATCTTTATGTCAGTAGCAATAGCATATTAAAAATGTTTTAATGTGAGACAACTATCAAAACGAAGAGTGGTAGGTAATTTTGTCCCTTCAAACTCATGCTACCATGTTTTTTATGCTAATGAGAAATTTTACCCCATAAACTCTAAAGCTCTAAACTATGGAAAAATTGTTTATTATTTACCAAAATCGATTTTCAAATAGCCAAATCACGACTAACACAGAACGGTGAACTCTAAAAGAGTACAGTTGGCGAACACCGTTGATTTTACCGAGATAAATTTGATTTTGAATAAGGGCGCTGTTTGGCTTTATCGTAAGTACGTCGAAAATTTCACAAGATATTGGGATTTTCTGCAAGCCAATAAACCTCAACAGATTGCCAACCTCGATGAAATCATTAGTAATAAACGACAACCGGTTAAAAGCAATCTGAAATTGTAGGCCGCGTTCAAATTACCCCTGAGTTTTAAAGAGCAAAGCTAAAGCTTTGGTCTTTTGAACTTATTTTGATTTGTTCATTAGTAAAAGTTATGACGATTTTAAGAAAAAAAAGTTTAAAAATGTCAAATATTATAGATTTTTAAAAATATAATTTTTTGGGGGATTTCCCTCATTTACGGGGAACGAGGAAAATTTTCTCTATATTTGAGGGTAATGTCTTCATCTAGATACGATTTATGACCTTTTGACGTAGCGTTAAGAAAAAATTTTGAGAGACACAAAAAAAAATACCAGCACAACTTTTAAATCAACTTTTCGCGCTGTTTTTAAATCTGAAATTAGACTATTTCTATCACTAAGTTTTGGTATTATTACTAATTATTAAAAAAAGAATATTAAAATATAAAAAAATATAAAAATAATTAAAAACAAAAAAAAATTGTGTTTTTAATTATAAATGGTTTTAAATTTTATTATGTTAAAAATAATCAGTGCAAACTTCACTATAACCTATTATTTTAGAATTGATTTTTATGAAAGATTATAATTAAAATAAATTTAATTTGTTACCATGATTTTTAGTTCAACTTGCAAGTTTGAAATTGACATCATTAAATAGAAAATTTTATGAGAATTAAAAAATAAGAATTTTCTTCTTATGGTGTGACTACAGTGATTGAGTCCTTGATAATTATTAAAGTTATTAAATCTAAATGAGATAAAATCAAATGAATTTTGAATTTTTTTCTAAATCAAAAAGAATTGAGAGAAAAATTCATAAACATCCAATCCCATTTGGGGTATGAACTTCTAACTACAAAACGCAGAATTTCAACACAAAAATTACATATTTTTTAATACAGTAGCCATTTTCACTATAAAGACAGTTATATAGTCTGAATTTTATTTATTTTGGACCCTTTACGTTCCCCCTGTGGGCAGGTAAAGGGTCAGATATAAAAAAAAAATATACCAAATAATAGGTAAAGACATCATCCATCTATAAAAAAAAGAATTATATTGACTTTATTTTATCTTCACGGTGAAAATGGCTATCGAATGCTATTTTTGTGTGAAAATGTTCAATTTTATATTTTACATTTTTAATTTTATTATGCTATAACTATTTGAAAAATGTATGGATCAATACAATTTTTTCATGAGAAGTAGTATTTGTATACATCTTTCATTCGACAT